ATTTTGAACAAAAAAAGCTAAGTAGATACAACAAGTCTGTCTCAACACATTTACTAACCAAATTCTATTGCATGAACTCTATAATAAGAGCAATTTATAATTTTTCTTTTGATAAGAAACACAAATTTAAGTTACAAACTTTCATTAAAACAAAGAAAGAGAATCGTGATGCAGAAGACACTGTTGATAATAATAGTGAAGATTTTTTGTACCATTCCTTATACTCAGTTCTGATGATTTGACTTCAGTAGCAGGCAAAGTTGCATCTACTAGATGGTCACTGGAACCATATTCCTTTGAATTCTGCTAACCAAGAGGAGCCTTTGGTTCTAACGAAGACATAAGAGCAACCAATTGCACCACTAAGAGTATATCAAAAAGCAAAAACTTTCACTATCTAGTGTGTACTCAATCATCCATATATACAAGGGGAGAATGGAGATGATATGGCTCATGGAATCAAAGCACGACAGGTAAAATGGAGGGTTTTGTTAAGCATATATATAGTGTGATCATCATATTTTGCTAGAATTGAAAGCTAAGTTTATAGAACATCTGTTAGACCAGCCATGCTATATGGGACTGAATGCTGGACAGTTAGAAAACAAACATATTCATAGCTCCTGTAGGTACATATTAGCCAAATGTTACAACCAGCACAGTGATATGCACACCTCTATCTCTGTTTCTCTAACGGCATATTAACCATTATCAGACACAAATTGTTAAGAGATCAGATTAAAATATTTGTCACCTTTTGAATCCTTCAAAATTGGAGATGTTTGCTGAATAATCTTTGCTACCCTTCAAAATTGAAGGGTCATTGCCTCAACCTCAAAAACCTGGTTGGGAGAGAGCCTAGAGAGAAGAGAATAAGGCGGGATAGCCTAGAGAGAAGAGAATAAGGCGGGAAACAGGGAGAGGAATGGAATTAGATGAATTAAGAGTCTCATGATCTCTTCTTCTATGGACCTGACTTGTGCTTGCTTCGGCTTCCCAGTCTCAATCTCAAGCCCAAATTTGCAGCTAAACTTTTTCAATTTCGGGTTTCAGACTTTCAGTCAATCGCAGTGTTCGAAAAATTGGCCTAGGCGGGTGGCTAGGCGGCTAGGATGGCGCTAGGCGACTAGGCGGCTAGGCGGGCGCTAGGCGGCTAGGCGGGCCTCCTAGGCGGGTTGGGTCTTTTTTCGGTGCCGAACAGGGAGGACAAAGCAGCCGAAACCGCTTGAGTTGATGGAGAAGCGAAATGGCGGCGACTGCGTCTGCAAGCTCCGTCCTCTGCGAGCGCAATCTTCGTGTTTGTTTAAAGATTAAGCCGCGCGGCTATACTCTTAAAATATTCGAATATATTAATATTTAACGAGTATAGCCGAGCTATACGTTTAAAATATCCGAATGTATTTAGAGAGTACAGCCGCGCGACTATACTGTTTAAATATACAATTTTGTCATGTCAATTTAGGGTTTAGGGCTAAAATACCACTTCAGCCCATTGGGCTAGAGTTATTTCTTCAATTATTTTATTTATACAGGCGATATTGGGGAATGAGAATTTAAATTCTTTCTGATACCTCCCATTATAATGATTTTAGCTATTAGCCCATTGGGCAAGAATAAAAAATTAATTTTATTTATAACAAATAATACAAGTTAAACCCATAAATACAGAAAACAAAAAAGAAAGATAGGGACCTGCCAACATTTTGTGGATCAAAGAATGTTGAATTTCTGGGTATAAATTGCTTGTATAGCAATTTACTTTCTAAAATGTATCCATTTTAATTATGAACTAAACCCAATTACAGCCTTTTTTTCTCATTGCACTTGACAATCATGCTTTTATGCTATTAGAGATATTATTTAGCGCTGTATTCTATGTAGATGAAAAATTGGATACAAAATAGTCTAACGAGACAATTCAAAGGCTTCTACTGTGCAGCATTTGGGAAGCTTGAGCACAGTAGCGTTTCCGCTGCTCCAATTGATCAAGAACTTTAGAAAAGCGGAGACAGAGCAACAATCCCCATCAATTTGATACTCACTTGCAAATCTGTCCATAAGATTTTGAAAATTCGGACATTCAGACACATCCCAAGGCCAGACTTCCATACATTCGTTGTCTGGGAAAATGAGAGATTGCCAGCATGAAGGATTGAGGGTCGCCTTGTACCATGACTTCCACACAAAAGGGACATCCAAAAGAAGTGGCTCCATTCCAACTTCTCCAACACTTTGACAAAGCAGTCCATTTCTAAGTCCTCCCATCTTTGTTCATCCATCTGCAACAACGATTTAATATATATAACTACATATGTACACAATAAGTTAATTAAACACCAAATTAAATGAAAAAAAAACCATAAATTTCAAAAGAATACAAAGAAACCTGGGAAAACAATCCTGTGGTAATCCTTTTCCTATATAATAAGAACAAACAAGAGAATTAATTGATGGAGTGTTGGATAATTGTTCATTCAACAAGCACTTTTTGCATTCCAACAACAAAAAGTAGGAAACTGGTTACTAGTCCTGCAATAATATAGAGGCAACTGCATCACGAGGAAGCAATTCTAGTATTTCCTCTTGGGAAGGCAAGTAGGGCCCTTTTTTTTTTTCAAAAGCAAGAGACTCTTTGGCACCATCTGCTAAGCTAAAGCTAACAAGGAATTACCAAAGCAACCATAATTGTCCTATCGCCAAACAAATCATCCTTATTTAAGCTTCTCCTCACTACCCTTTTTGGGTTTTTAATCGATTTCATCACCGTCTTCCATTTGATGCTGCACAAAGTCAGGAAGTAACAAGGATTTGATCATGAGAAGCAGAAATATATAAGTTTAGGGGCATCATCTATAATAAGGTAACAAATCATTTATTTATAAGTAACATTATATACAGTGGTTTTGATGAAGTCTTACCTCCTCAGCAATCTTTTGCTTGTGAATGTGGTCGTTCTCAAACAAAATTATTAATGATTCAGGATCCAAGGAACGGTGGTACACAAAGCATCAACCAGTTTCTATAGCCTTGTACTTCTTTTGATCCTGAAGAAAACTTCACTTTCATCCAAAAAGTGGAAACATAAAATCACAAGACTAGAAATTGCAAGAAAAAGCATGATGCTAGATTGGCCCAAGAGCTTTGACATTATTAATGGAATTGCTCGGGGGCTCCTCTATCTTCATCATGTAGGTCTTTTAAGTGTGCAGTGTAACCCGGCAGATAGGCCGAGCACGTCAACTGCAATTGTAATGCTGAGTGGTGAAGGGTCATTGCCTCAACCTCAAAAACCTGGTTTTTTTATAGTGAAAGGGATCTCAATGAACTCGAAGTCGATCCTTCTTCTAAAGCATTTTCAGCTAATAAAATCACAATCCTTTTACACTAATGGAGGCTCGATAAACGTTGTTTCATGTTGATGTGTTAATCTGGTGCTTTTGAAGTCAGTTTTGAAGAGTTACATATAATTAAGATATTCCCAACCCATGTGTTAGCAAATGCACCCTCTAAATTTTTTTATTTGTTTTCTTTGGAGTTGAGGTGGAGTTCATATCACACTACAGAAACACAGATTATAGTGAAAGGGATCTCAATGAACTCGAAGTCGATCCTTCTTCTAAAGCATTTTCAGCTAATGAAATCACAATCCTTTTACACTAATGGAGGCTCGATAAATGTTGTTTCATGTTGATGTGTTAATCTGGTGCTTTTGAAGTCAGTTTTGAAGAGTTACATATAATTAAGATATTCCCAACCCATGCGTTAGCAAATGCACCCTCTAAATTTTTTTATTTGTTTTCTTTGGAGTTGAGGTGGAGTTCATATCACACTACAGAAACACAGATGCTGATACAATAACTAATATAAAAGCTTAAATGAATTAGATTTTTCACTTGAGGTGTTGTAATTTTTCTTTTCTTTTCTTTTTTTTCTATTCTTAGGCGGGTTGGGTGTTTATTTTTTATTTTTTATTTTGTTTTCCTCTTTTGGTCAGAAAATTTTGTTTTCCTGACTTAAGAAAACCTAGGTTTTATGCCTAACTTTTTCCCATGTTTTATATCAATTATGGTATTTTATCATTTGTACGCGTCCTTTTATTTTTGCATTATTTATGTATAAATTTATAATTTATAATACAAAATAATTATAAATAAATAAAACGCCTAGTCGATTACTCCTCTAGGCGCTAGGCCCGTGCCTGCCGCCCTCCTGCTGTGTAGCTTTTTTTCGAACATCGGTCAATCGACGCAATCTTCAATTAGTTACAGCTTACAATGTCGTCAAGTGTACAGAAATGATATGACGACGAATTCGGATGGAATTCAATAGAAATGTATTCTAATAATAAACACGACAAGTAAATTACTTTAAAATTAGCTATTTTCTCTCAGTAATTACCAAACTAAATTGTTTTGTTTTGTTTTTTTGGTTTGAAAAGATGTTTTAAAGGTTAAGCTCAATTCTTTTTCTTTTACTTACATAATATGTTTGATAAGTTAAATTTCTAATAACACCAGTATTCAAACTTAATAAAAATATAAAGTTAATACCTTGGTCCTTATTTAGAAAATAAAATTAATAACTACAATGCTGCGAGATGATTTGAATTTTATGAAATGTTGCCAATAAGGAAAAAAAAAAAGAATTTTATTGATTATAAAATCAATAGTCTTTTTTCTCTTGGGTTGAAAGTAAAATCAGTGTTCTTCTAACTGAAGGCATCCCCAAAGCACATGTTAATTACATACCTTGGCGTTTATGTAAAACTCAATAAATTGTAAACGTGAAATTTACAGCTTAAAGTCTTTAAATTGATATGCTATGTATAAATACTGGAATACGTTATTTTGAGGTTTGGATCGGCAACATGTACATGATCCAATTCAAGTGCATGTAGGTAGAGCATGTGTATTTATGTGACTTGATTACACATCTTGTGATTTTATTCACAACTCCTAAGAGAGGCAGAATATTTTCAGCTACCTGGTCTAAAAGAGGAAATGCATGCTTATCAAATCGTTGCAAAGTTGGATGCAGAATTAAAGCGCATAGATATCATCAAATGTATAAAATCAAATGAGAGAATTAGGTTTAGAGGTGTTAATCTCTCTGGCCTTGATCTTTCGAAATTGGACTTGACGAAGATAGATTTCAGTTATGCATGTCTGAGAAATGTGTGTTTCTCAAATTGTGATCTTCACGGCGCAAAACTTAATTATGTAGATGCTAAGCGTGCCAACTTTAGCGATGCTAGTTTGGAAAGTTCAGAATCTGTAGGGGCAAATCTCCGTGCCGTGACGCTATCTGTCGGTGCCAATCTTGGCTCTGCAAAGAAAAATTGTAGCTTTTGGGGAGCAAGCTTGGTTGCTGCAGAGCTTCATGATGTTGATCTTAGAAATGCAAGTTTAGAGGGGGCTTGCTTGGTCTCTGCACAATTGCATGATGTTGATCTTGCAAATGCAAATTTAGAGGCGGCTAGTCTAGAACGTGCAGACTTGAAGAATATCAAGACAACAACTAATACTAAATTTAAGGATGCAAATCTTCAAGAAGCTTATGTAGAGAATGTGAATTTTCAACATCTGGAGGGTGCAAAGCTTGCTCTTGTTACTCCTTCCGGTAATGGGGTTATATGTAGGCGTTCTCATTTCTTCTAGTATCAGACTTATTTTTCTTTACCCTATATTTATTTGTCATTAGAGCTACAAGTCTAAATTTTGGATTCTTTTTTTTTTTTTTTTTTTAAAAACGATAAGATATTTACAAAGTATTTCTCTAGCAGGATTATCCGCGGATACACCAAATATAAAATGGTCATAGCTAGCCATGTTTGGACAATAGTTCATTATTGAAAGAACTGCCCCTTAAATTTTTTGAAGAATTTTCTTAGACTTGGCATAAACTTCCATTTACAGACGTTGAGTAAGAAACGGTTTAAATGTCATCAGAACTGCGATTGCCTCAACCACATTTAGGATGAAGAAAACCACCTGCACACCTGCATTAATCCAGTATGTAACAAGTGGTAAGGTTTCTTAATGAACCTTTCAACCTGTCATTAAATTTGGCTCTGTAATTTCTAATCTAATATGAAACAATATATTTACATCAATTTTATCGAATTCATCACAAATATATACGAGCTAAATTCAATTCACAATGCACATGAAAAGATTCAACTATATGCATGTGACAAATGAATTAATCATGCACTCTCTAATTGCTTGGACCAAATTCATATTGCGAGTATGTGGACAATAAAAAAATTAAAAAAATCCACAACTTTTTAGCTAACAAAAATCCATGATGAAAAGTTAGTTGAGTATGATTGATACCCGGAAGGATGACAGCATTCTGGCGTTTCTCTGCCCAAGAAAACCTGTCGAGAGATGAAATATGATTAGCAAAAGGAAATAACAATTCCTCAATTAAGAATATAATACTATAGCTGAACAGTACATAAGGAAAGGCAAGGCAACAAGCCAACTTTTTTACCCAAGGGGTTTGGTCTAGTGGATATCCTGGCTAGGCCTGCAAGTGGGCGAATGTTAGCTGGCCTCAGTGAGGTCCAGCGTTCGAATCCCACCTTGTGAAAAACACCCCCTGGGGAGAGTCAAATCCGTTCAGGTCTACGACTCGGAGTGGTTGCTCACTTGCTATAAGGAAAGGCAAGGCAACAAGCCAACTTTTAGTGTTTTGCTAAACTTACAGGGCACCGGCACTAGCTGGACCAACTGCCTTGAACAGAGACATTGCAGTCATGGCAAGGCCATTAGCAGCACCTCTTTGTTTTTGGTCCTGTTGTTTAATCATGGTCAATCAAGACAAATTCTTCAGTTGAAGAATGACTTTTTTCTGTTTTGTTTTTAACAATGCAATATTTTAAACTACTATAATGTATGAGAAGGAGGATCGAACTCACTTTAAGGGAGGGGCGCAATAATCTTATCACGTATTAAACAAGTAAAGGGGAAAAACAAAAACTAGGTAATTATAAAGGTGCAATTACCACAGCATTGTTTTGGAGAGTGAACAGGCCAGTTACAATCGCAACCTAATTACAAATCAATACTTTAAATGTTAGAAATTGACAAAAAGATAAGATATTGGAAGACATTATTCTTTAGATATAAGAAGTCATATATGCACTTACAGATAAGACATTCTTGATCATGGATGCAATATTTATCAATAGGGAGAGGATGAACCCCGACAACTTTGCTATAAATGGAAAACTTAACAGCAGAGGTATTGATAAAACCTACATACCCAAAAAATGTCAAGAGGGCTCGAGCGCTAAGTGATGTACATGACAAAGAAAAATGAAGAGAAAGCATGCAGGAGCTGAAAAGTTTACCCCTCCAATGCGAGCAATCATTATAGAACCAAGAAGCTTTTGCACATATGGGTATAAGGACATTTGAAATACAAAAAGACCAACACCTACAAGTTGAATAAGTTGTGAGCAATTCCTCAGTATGGAATTCAAGACAATTATGATTGTAATGAATGTATAAATTATTAATGAAATGATATTATGAAGTGGACTAAACCGAGTAGTTAGTATCGTATTAACTTATTAACCGGTTAATTTGAGCGATCCTATTTGAATTATTTTTTAAAGTTTTGTGAAGAGCCCCTCTAATGTGAAATCATGGCTCCGCCGAAATTGTAATATCATTGAATCATTAAAAATGAAAAACACCAATAAAAATTATAAAGTAAATACCCAAAATGAGTCATGTGTGAGAAAAAGTCTAACTCACTAGGATATTTTTTAGTGACATATAAGTATATGTGGAAATATAAAATGTTACCTGAGATTGCAAGAATTTCACCAACGTCCTCAGTTGAAAAGCTCAAACCCCCCAACTTTCGGGGACTCTCGGCCCATAATGAGAATATCTATTATTAATGTTTCAATTAAATCACTTAATGAACAAAACTATGCTACTATAAAAATAAATAAATAAAAGTGTTTACCTCTGTATAAGCCATGTCATGAAGTGAAAAAACAGAATAGACAAGGATTGATGACATTAAGGGCCAGTTCTTTAAAAGGCTTTCCTTGGGTATTTGTTCTTCATTTTTTTGATTTCTTTCATTTGCATCAAATCCGGAGGATGCAGTTTCCAATGCTTGAAAGGAATCATCGCATAATTTAGTCTTTCCATTGTGCTTGTGTAAAGTTTCCTGCAATCCCAGGTTATCATGTAAGCAATGTTCTCTATCCTATCCATGAGGAGAGGGAGCCTCAAGAAGTTAGATTGAAACAAAGAGTTGAAATTAATATATACGTACTGGAAGCCAGCAACAAGAAATGGCTCCTCCAAATGCAAAAACAGATATGCTTAGGCAAGGCAAGAAGTAGGGAAACCTGTGCATCACATGCAATTTCACATTTTATGAACATCAATTTGTACCAGAATCAAACAGTAAAAGATGCTGAAATTTGACAATCAAACTGAACTTACCTCCCGAATATAGAGCTTTGGGTAAATATATTTGGATATTTCTCTGCAGGCTGAATGAAAAGGTTGTTCAAACATATTAATAGAAAAATTTTGGGCTCACAGTTACTTAAGGCGACTGTCGCTGACATTTCTCATCAGAGTAATAATGTAGTGTAAAAAAACTGTCTTACGAGAAGTAGAGTTACCTGGGCCAAGAAACCTCCCAAAGCTGGGCCAATGATTAATCCAATACCCCACGCTGTGCTAACCTGAAAAGAACTCTCATTAGGGCAGTTCCAGCAACAAGGGCTGGGGGCTGGGTGGGTTTAGGCCCAAAAACGTTTCCAGCAGCAAGAGCTGGGGGGGGGCAGCTACTGGGGCTGACGAAACCAGGCCAGCCCTTAGGCAAGATGAGTCCTAGTTCAAGCCCGGGTTTATTGACGTCAGCAACAAAAAAACATTTTAAAAAATCGAAAAAAATATTTAAAAAAATTTCAAAAAATTTCAAAAATTTTTAAAAATAAATACTTAGTCATAGTTTTCACTTCTCACACCAAAAATCTATACCAATTTCTCTCCTCATATCTCATGTGAATAGTTGTTGCCATGGCAATCGGTGGAAACACCACAACCTTTTGCAAGGGCAGCCACTATTCACGTGAATAGTAGCTACCCATAGCCAGCAACACAAAAACATTTTAAAAAATCTTTAAAAAAATTTCAAAAAATTTCAAATCTTTTTAAAAATAAATACTTAGTCATAGTTTTCACTTCCCACATCAAAAATCTATACCAATTTCTCTTCACATATCTCATGTGAATAGTTGTTGCCATGACAATCGGTGGAAACACCACAACCTTTTGCAAGGGCAGCTACTATTCACATGAATAGTAGCTGCCCATAGCCCCCCCCTTGCCATGGCAAAGAGTTCACTGCTGGAAGTGCTTTAATTGAACGATCTCATCTCATCTCTGAAGCAGAAGTACATATATAGAGTAGTGCACTTGTAAAAACTTGTAGAATGACAGAGACCAATCTAGCTTACTGCTGACATTCCAATAGCTTGGTGTTCTTCACGAAAGACTTCACTTGCATATGCCTGGTCATGAAAAAGTAACCGGTGTTAAATTACATATATAGGTACAGAACTTGCATGCGAGTACATTTTTCATGGTATTGTAACACCACATGATATATCCTGGAATGATGTAAAAAAGTCGTCAATTTACAATTATTAAAACTAAAAACTTTAAATTCAATACACGTGTTATAATTTGTGTGGACTTGTAACACTAGATCAGTATGTTTATAGTTACAAACGAAAAGTCGTCATTGCAAAATTGCTACAACTTTAATATGTATCCAATATATTGTACCTTGATTGGACCTAATATACCATTCAAACATCCAAGAAGAAATCTTGTAGAAATGGCCATCCAGAAATTCACACTGAGCCCAAAGAGGGTGTTCAAAATAACCCTGATGAGAAAGCATATAATTTCCACTATCATTTATAAGTTCAATTCAGGAAAAAATAAAAACTCAACCGCAAAATACAAGTTATACTAACACGGCAATAGTCCCAATTATTATGACGGGTTTGCGACCATAGCGATCAGCCACCATTCCCCAAGCAACTGATGTCAATGTTCTGCCAAGCATATACGAAGCCCCTTCACAAAATAAAATTCGTCACTAAAAACAATTAAATAAATTCGTCACTAAAAAATATAAGTTGTGAGAATAAATTAACTGACCTACATACCCAGCATAGTACCCAATATCTTCCTCTCTGTTTGCAATATGAAAATCCCTGATCTGCATAAGTTAATCAATCAAATACAAGAAGAAAAGTCGTCTCAAATAATTTAAGTATATGCACTCACCATAAAATAAATAAATGGAAAGAGGGATGATACTGGCAGCGCTGAAAAATTATCACAAAACAAAATAATAAATTAATTCTCACTTTGAGTATGAAACAATGGAATTTCAAACAGTGAAGTTGAGGATTCATCTGAATTGGTTGAAGAATTAGTAATAAAGTAGAAAATGGCTTACTGGCGGTGAGTACGATAATATATATAGCCACAACATTTCTAATAGGGAGGCCTCTTTGCAAGTCTTTAGACTGCTCAACCTTACAGCCCGAGCAGTTTTCATAGTATTCCTTCTTCAACAGCGTCTCTCTACACTCATCCTCCTCCCCACCCATGCTTGCTTGTTTTGATGAATTGCTTTTGCCCCAGAAAACCAAAAATAACTCTCTCTCTCTCTCTCTCTCTCTCTCTCTCTGTGTTTGAGTAATTGTTAGGTCATGTAACGAGAGAAATAAACATACAATATAATGAGAGTAACAATATTCTTATGCATTTATGGCCGCGAATGAACCAGCAAGGAAAATGGGACCACAACTGCTAGTGACCCCTTTATTCCCTTTATTTCCAAGTTCATCACTCCACTAGCTAAGCTAAGAGCCCTCTTGATAAGCTCAACACCAACCAGCGGCACATCATTTACTACTACTCATCATCATCATCATCATCATCCATCTTTACCATTTCTTCTCCAACCAACACTGCCCGTGCTGTCAACACCAAGCTCACCATCAGCAATACGTTTATCACGTTTCTTATATCATATCAGGACAGTGCTGCTCCTTCCTTCTCTAGAAGACTAGAACGAGACATTTTTGCACATCACAGTTTGACATATATATGAAAATAATTCATCACAAATACAAAAAGAAAAATCTCTACGCACTTGTCAAATTGTGACTGGAGAGTTTCTACTCCTAAAGAAAGATGGCAAGTATTTTCGATCATATAATTAATTCTCTTCAATATAATATTAATATTCCAGCTGGTTTGTTGTGCAATTGGTTTTCGTTTTTTATTTTTATACACGTGATATTCTTGTGTGGACAATTGATAGCAAAAGGGAAGAGTGGGGGTGGATGTCAAAAGTGGGGGTGGATGTCAAATTGATGGATAAGCATAATGTTTTCCTCATGTAAAAATGGTATGACATAGAAACCTCTGTGTTGACCGACAATATAGTGTTAATCTTCTTTTGTTTAATAACTGAGGCTAAGGCTTATATGCCAAGTCCCATTCAAATTATTAATTGGCACTTGGCACCACATTCCATGTTCATAAGAAAATTCGCCGGAAAGGTCTCTTCCCACAATTATCTCTATGTTAGGATAAATTTCTCCGAAAAAGACATTTTTTTTGTAGTTCGATGTTTTGTGGGGAGAGCTATTTTCAGACAAATTTTTGACAGGATAGACCTTTCTCAACAATTTCAATGGGAAAAATCTTTCTCAGCCAGTTACGCTCTTTCCCGACAATTTTTTTCTGTCAGAACAACTTTTCACCGTTGTCGGTATAAACCTTTCCAGGTGAATTTTGAACGACCAAAAAAAAAAAATGTTGTGCTTTGTGAGTCAAGATCAATATTTGCACCATCCTCATTGACCTCATCTCTGGGTTCATTTACAGAATCTGACAAATTAAAAACTTTTCTACTAAGTTTTGTTTATGTAACAAACTTTTTGAACAAAAATAATAGTAGATATGAAAAATAAAATAAAATTAGAAAAAGCATACCTCAACGTTGCCAACCAAGTAAGGCAGTTGCTGATTGAGCTTAATATTTTCCTGATTCTCCTTGATCTTATCCTTGTATGAATCTAGCTCCAAATGTGTTCTTTTGCATTTCTTCCTTCAACCCACCATCCATCTTTACCTTCTTTCTTCTCCAACCAACCCCTGCTCGTGCTCGATCGTGTTGTCAACACCAAGCTTCACATCAGCACATCTACCAGTGACCCTTAATTTCCAAGTTCATCACTCCACTAGCTAATAGGCCCATTATATATATATTTATGAAGCGCACGACAATTCACATTAGCTCACGCCAACCAGCGGCACATCATTACTAGTACTCATAACCATCATCATCCATCTTTACCATTTCTTCTCCAACCAACACCGCCCGTGCTGTCACAACACCAAGCTCACCATCAGCAATACGTGTATCGTGTTTCTTATATCATATAAGGACAGTGGCGGACCCAAACTTTTGTCCATCTAGGGGCGTAAAAAACAATTTCATAGCTGACTCCTACAAAGCCTAGGTTTTCATAGCAATACGATATATATTATAACACATAATTTATTTCAATAATTTTTTAATATATGATTTTGGGCCAAAATCTAAGGCTTTATATATTAGACCACATGTTTATCAAGTCTTGGGTCTTGATATTTTCAATATAGGAGAGGCTAAAACCTTGAAGGCTTTATTTATTTAGGGTGCTGAGTGGGGATTTTGCATGCAAAATATTAGCCAGGTGTCTTATTTTTATTGGCAAACTGTTTGGCTAGATGGGTGAAGAAAACACTTAAGTATGGGCAGTTGCCCACAGTAGGCATGTATTGGGTCCACCAGTGTATAAGGACACTACTACTCCTTATTCTCTCAAAAGACTAGAAGGAGTCATTCTTGCACATCACGGTTTAACATATATATAAAAATAATTTATTACAAGTACAAAAAGAAAAATCTCTACACACGTGTCAAATTGTGAATGGAGTTTAGGCAAGTATTTTCCATCATATAATTAATATTCCTGGTTTAGTTTTTTATTTTTTATTTTATGCATGCGATATTCTACTTTAATCTTATCTAAATTATAAGGAGGGGGATTCAAACTCTAGTGCAGAGTGGGGAATACATCCGCTCTAGCCAACTTAGCTAAGTCCATATTTACGGTTTAGGGTTTATATAAGTTAATAGTGATCATAATTAAGGAAAGTAATGTTCTTGAAATAAATCCGAATAAGTTCATGAATTGCTACACGTGAAACCAATAGCATATGAATCACTAGCTCGACTAAAGAGCACATAACAGGCAAACTCATGCAAAGAATCCTTCTGACACGCACCATGGGTATGCATGCAAAGCATCCAGAACTTGTAAGAGTGGCAAAATACTATATCAACTTCTAGGGTTGACAGATGAAATACAAGATGTTTTGAAGAGAGTTGAGGAAAGGCTAAGGCCAGATTTAAGTCGTGATGAGTTTATCAAGTGTTGGCGGAAAATCAATCTTCAAGGTCTTAATCTTTCTGGCCTTGATCTTTCAAATTTAGACTTGTCACAAATGGACTTTACGAAAGCATGCCTGAAAGATGTGTATTTTGCATCTACAAATCTTACAAATGCGAAATTCAAATATGTGGATGCTGTGGGTGCAGATCTTTGATCATGCAATTTTGTATGGTAGTTGTTTCTCTGGAGCAGATCTGCTTCTTTTGTTGACTCAGCCTTGATGGGTTGTGGATTTAACGGGGCACAAATGTATGAGGCATCACTACGCAATCATGCTCTTGCATACGTTGATCTAGATGAAGCTTTTGTTTTTCTACTATTTTTAATTAGCAGGTTTGGCAAGTGGGTGGGCTTTTCTTTTGGGTTTTATGGTATGGGCACGTTTTGGGCCGTTGAAAATTCTAATTTGTTTTTTTGGTAAATTGTCAAATTTTGTAAATGACATTAAAGAAATTGTGAAATGACGCCTATTTTGGTGGAAATTAAACTCGGGAATTTGATGCTCCAATTAAATTCTCGATTTTTAGTTAAATTTTAAATTATTTTCCCTAACCCAAATAAGGATAAAGAATTGGTTACATACTTCTAATTTCGGTCATTGAATTGCATTTAAGAGACAACTAACATATTTAATGAATGCAATCCAACGGCTAAGATTAGAAGTATGTAACCACTTCTTAACATAAAATACTTATTAGAGAATCTCCTCCAAGACTAATATCTGCAGCGCCGTATTGAAATAAAATATGTTTTTTTTTTTTGGGGCCGATTTAAAGAAAATGGTTAAAATGACGGTATTGCGGACGTGAGGTAGAGGCAATTACGGATTATATAATTTAATTTTCATCCCTTATTCCCTTTCTTCCTAAAAGTAAATAACTAAAAATCAAACCTGCTCTGCTGATCGCCAAAAAATTGACTGATAAACAAGCTCGGCCAACATTTCATTGCAAAAAGGGGGAAAATGGAGGGAGCTAGGTTCTCAGATTGAGATTGGGAATTTGAGGTGGATCTGCAATTGAAAACTCCGTGATACGAATTTGGGAGCTGGATGGATCGAATCAAATTCGATTTTCCAAAATCTAGAAAGTAAGGTCAGAATTTCAGCTGTTCCTCCCGAGAGACAAATCTGTTCTTCTAAATTTTAAATTTCGAATCTTTGGTATGAAAATTTGGAAAGATCGAAACAAAGAGAGGCAATTTTTAGGTATTACGCTTTGGATGAACAGCTGTTGGTAGGTGGGTAGCGGTACCTGAAACCCACAAGAACACTCTTTTCGGCGATGCACTGAATTTGTAGCTTAATTTTCAAAGAATTCATCTTTCATTTGTATTTTAATCCAAAAATAAAATATGCATGCCCGGCATCGCAATCCTGGAAATGGGTACAGGTCCAATTCCATGGGTATGGGGATGGGCATGGCTCCCAATTCTCGGATCTCCCCAGAGACTTCTCTGAGGGGCCATGGCTTTTACAGCTCCGAACACCGAAACTTCAATCGCGGTTTTGGCCGCCCCAAATCTTTCCAGCCGCCTCCAGCTCCACCGCCTCCGCCTCCAGGTCCGCCCCGCAAAGGCGACATCTTTATGGAGGCGGGGCGCCTTGCCGCTGAGTATTTGGTATCTCAGGGGCTGCTGTCTCCGAATGCGCTCTCCGCTAAATGGCAGAATACTAGTTTAAAGAAGCAAGTGGGGGAGTTTCAGGAGGCTGACCATTTGCAAATTGCATCAGAAGGCCGGACTTCGGCTCTTGCTCGGTTGGGGAATTCGGTTTCGGATGGAGGGTCAAGAAGGGGAAGGTTTGGTGTTGATGAATTTAGCAGCAACACAAGGAATCATTTCAAGGGAAAGAGGAGAAATGGGGCTGGATCATATCGGGGTGGTTATGGCTCGGATTGGGGACGAGACTATGGCAGGAGTGGTTCCTTCTCGGATAGACATAGTAGGGCTTCCTCTGATAGGGAGGGTGATGAAGGTTCTGTTTCTGGACACCATGAGGAGCAGAAACTCAGTAAAGATGCTGGTAATAATGCATTGCAACAAAACTCCAGTCCAAGCGAGTTGAGGCCCAGGAGTGAGGATGCAGTGGATTCGGAATCTAAATTGAACAAGGGCCGATACCCAGATGATGATATGAGTTCAAAGCCAAGTTCTTCTGGAGCTTGGAAAGATGGTCCAAATGAAACTGATGAAGTTGGTGAGGAACCTGCCAAGGTATCGGATAAAGAGATGAAGGATCAAGATTGTGCCAACAATGAGGAAACTGAGAAACAAAGTGTTTCGGAGAACTTACTGATGCAGCTTGGTGCTGCAGAAGCCGAGGGTGAGGGTGATTCCTCAGGCAAGAATGGGACTGACTTGCTAACACTGTGCAAATTTGCCAAGGTGCCCACTAGAATCCGCTCATCATTGACGCACAGGGGTCCAAAGGTTGATGATCCACTTCCAAATACCCAAGAGGGGACCACCTCTGACGCTGGCATCGAACACAAAGAATGTCAAGCTTTAGTTGAAAACGGTTCCGTTGATGTTTCTTTAGGTACCACACTATTAGATAAAACTCATTATGATAATTGTCTCAACCCTGAAACTTCTAAAGCTCAGTCCAGTCATTCTACTGAAAATTTGGTAGAATCAGGTCCTGAATATGGTAGTATTGAGCAGAACAGATATGCAAGGTCCCAGTCTTTGCCAGGTAGAGCTTTTGTAAATGTGCAAGAATCAACTCAGGGACCTGTAGGGCTTAGGAGTTCCAGCTTTGTAGTTAAGGAAAGAGGTGAGAAAAGGGTTTTAGAAGAACATGATCAGCTGGAGGAAGCCAAAAAACCAAGACAATGGCTTCCTTACATGGTTACAGAGGCAGATGGTTGTTTCGAGCTTTCAAACTTGAGTGAAAAGAAAGTAAATTCACTGGAAGAAAACGTTTCTGGTGAGAAATTGATTATAGCTGTTGATCAGGAGAGCTCAGTGATGAATGAATCCCAATCCCAAAAAGATGGAGGTGAAGCCTGCATTGAGTTTGCGCAAGAAAAGAAGCTTTTTCCGGATTCATTCAAGATCTGCGACCTTAATCTCATGGGGGTTTGTGATGCACATGAGAATCGTGATACTGATATAGATTATCAGGTTGTTTCTGGAATGAAGAAAAAAATAGCTCCTGTTGATGTTGACTTATCAATGAATAACTCCAATGTGTCTGGTGAGAACAGTAGACACACTGTCAATGTTAAAGAGATTGAAGTCATTGATTTAGAAAATGACTCTATCCAAGAAAACAAGGCCTTCAATGGTGCAGAAAGAAAGTAAGTTTATCCTATTAGCATTCAACTTCATGAAATTGATATGATTTTCTATTTGGATAATAATATGGTAAAACCTTGCTTCCCATAAAAGAAAAAACGTTGTAAAACTTGCACTACTTTTGTTGTCAGTTTGGCTCTCTCCATTTATATTTAAGTGCTTTGTGAACTGCAGCTGATAGTTTTTTCTTTGTTAGTCTTTTGTTTTTTCCTAATTTCTTTGACATGTATTTTTCTTTTTGATCTAATTTTGTTTCAATACACAGGACACAGACTGAATTTACTCCTCTGGAGGGCTTTCCTAACCATGCACAGAATACTAGTGATATCCCTGATGTTCAAGATGGTTATGGACTTATGATCTCAGAATTGCTGGGAAACGATTTCCCAAATTGTTCTTCAGTACCAGAGGATCTTAATTCAATGCATAACGAAATTGGCCTTCATAATGGAGAGGTACTGTCATTAATTCAATGCATAATGCCTGGTGGTTATTTGATCTGAAATGCATATAAATGGATTACTTGAATTTATACATCTATACGCATCATAATTGTTCCCATTTGGCTTATGTCTTGTGATGGAAATGCATTGCTATGAGCATATGTCTCACATGTTAAACAACTGATGTTTCTCCTTTTGTTTGACCGATTGTTTCAGGAGACTCTTGCCGATGATGATTCAATATATATGGCTCTTGGAGAAATACCATTAAGTATGCCACATTTTTAATACACTGGTTTGTTTTCTAATGAATCTCAAATGTCAAGTTCTGTCTGAGTGATGTTTGGATTATTGGTGTGGATGGGTGTGTTAGAACATTTATATGGTAGTGTGCTTTTAGCTATCACATGCCTTGTACCAACTACCAGCAAGTTAGTGCACAAATTTCCATATATTTAATCAATTTTGACAGCTTTTGGTCATCCTAGAATGGGTGGAAGCAAAGGAAATGCTCAATAAGTAACCTAAGCTGTTCCTTTCAACTCGTTATATGTGTTTGAATATGTTGCACCGGACTTGAATATGAGATGGGAATTGTAAATTAGTGATACTAGATGTAACTCGAACAAGTTTTGCTCCAAAAGAACCTAAATTAAAATGAGAAAAACAAGAATGAGTTGCTTGAGGTAACTAATAGTCTGTAATATATGTTTGCTTTTATACTATTTCCTTCAGTTTTGCAACCTTCTGGACGAACGCAGAATCCAATTGATTAAAGCACGAAACTTCTTTTCATAGGAAAACAATTTTGTCTACCATTATTTATCTGTAGATTTTCTCAAATCTGATAGGGGTGCAGGTGTAACCATTAAACCTTGGTAAAGTTGTTTCAGTTCCATTTAAAATTCATTGAAGAAACTCAAAAATATTACCCATGAGTGAGTTACATAAAACACATATAGATATTTAAATGTTAGGTTGCTAGTAGTAATTTAAAGGGAAATGGCTACTAGGTTTTTATCATTATAGTATAGCAACCCTGTAGTAGAGTTCGAAATGAGGAAGCTATTACGCAAAATGACTGAAAGGTAGGGGTTATTGATTAGTGTGAATACGACCTTTTTTGTCGGAGAAAAGTCCTAGGTTGCAGCAAATTTTGCAACAAGGATCTGAAGAAGTACTGATTTATGGGTTTTCACTATCTTAAAAAATTAGGAAGCGTAATTATTGCAATTTGTTGTGTGATGCATTTACCTTTAATGGTATTTTTGGCTCTTCAACTTTATACTATTTCTCCAATCCTTTATTTTGCTTGTCTAACAATACTTCTTAAACACTTATGCAGCCTTTTTGAGGCCCTGGGAGCAGCCAACCCCGCAGGAGTATGAGAAGCCCTTTTGATCCAGCCAATCATAAAATTTCTCAGATGTATAATTCGGTATGCTTAGTATTGGTCATTGTGGGTTCTTTTGTCCTATCACCTCTATTAAGTGGCAACCTTGCTTTGATTGAATTTTTTTTTTTTTCACTTATTAAGGGTGCAAGTAAATCTCTTCTTGTAGGATGTTTAAGGATGTTGAATGATGTTAATTCTCTGTTACACCTTGTTCTTACATGAAACATGTTAATCATGTTGATTGGCAGTAGTGGTTGCCATCTGTTACTTGTCTGTTTTCGGTTCCTCAGTGACTTTACACATAGATCTTACACCTTGTTCATATTGATTGGCAGAAATGGTTGAACTCATTTGGTACCTTCTTTCCTCGCTGACTTAACAAATGCAAATCATGCTAGGGTTAGGTGTTACACACACAGAGTAATATTACATGGTAAATATTGAAGACAGATAATCCATGACATTGTGGTGATTGGAAGTCCGTTATATGACTACTGGGATCTTAACCATTTCAACACCCCGCACATTAGGGTTTTTAGCTCAGGTAAACTAGTTTGTTTGCAAATCTTCAAATCTTCATATTTTTCCTTTGTTCGAAGGGATTCATTGTCGAGATAATTTGTAAAAGGTTTGCACGACTTGTTTTGAGTTGTGATGGGAGAGTCTCTATTGTTGCATTGGTGTTTGATAACCCTATAATATGTCTGGTTTTGAACATTTTGTAGCATGGCTCATAGTGGCCATAAGAAAAAGTGTTCCTTGAACTTTCATTTCCTCTAGTTCTTTCAAGAACCCAAATTTCATTGTGTTTTCTAGAGAAGCTACAATCCTGCTCAACTGAACATGCTGTCCTTGAGTGGACAGATTCCACAACTTCTTAGGAGAAATATCTCATTCTGCCATCTTGATATGGAGCACATAGAGAGATAGAGACTACATCATACCTTTATCTTATTTCTTACATTTCTTTTGGTTTTCAATTTGAAAATTTTGCTTTTTCAATAAAAAAATTGGCCTTTGAATATGATAAAATCTAGAGGTGTGAGTTGTTTGAGAATGGATGAGAACTGCTATGCTGAATAACTGATATTGCTTCCTCAAGTTCACACGCCTGAAAGTCCCTAGAAAGAGAGAGTTTATGAAATTCACATATAAAGTTGCTGTTGTAGGTCAAAATTTTTGGTCCAATCTGAAAAATTCTATTCAATATTATTTTGGTTAGTCGGCTTGGACAAAAAATAATTAGAAAGATCCATCATTTGGCATACATAATAACTTTTCATGGCACTCTTTTCTCAGCTTCCATATCCTTGTAGTTGGTGTTTGATGCTTGGAGAAGGAGATTGGTTTCCTTCTTCCCAAACCAGCAACATGCATGGCATTGGCATTTGCATCGCAGTTTTCATTGGATAAAAGCAGAGTTGGAAAATGTGCAAAATATCTCTCATGATTTTTGTTGGTGCATGTGGTTTGTCCAATAATTCCATATTATTTAACCCAAAAATGAAAAACCAAATTGAAACTTGGACATTCCATGGTATTGGACTTATAAGATATAAAATAAAGGAAAATAATTCTCTTCCTCCAGTGTAAGTAGGTATAATTTTTGCACATGTGTCGAACTTTGATTTCCAGAAAATGATGAATACGATTAACTTGATTATCTAACACAAGTTTACTTTCTTGAACTAATATTTGTTTTTTCTTTTTCAGAATTGTAGATATTTTCATTTCTAAGATTGAATAAGCCATGCAAACAAACAAAAAAAACTGAAAATTCATTAAATAATAGGATAAAGTAAATTATGGTGTGGACAGCCATCATGTTGAAGGACATGAAATTCTGTTTGAGAGTCAAAATTAGTACGGATATATGGTACACAGTACTTGCTTCCGCAATTCTCTGTTATGATAAGATGAGATGGTATGGTATGGTATGGTATGGCTTCATTCATACATGATGACGTAAAAGATTATATAACTGTCAAAGCATGTGCACAGTACTCATAAATTTAGATCTCCAATTTAAAATAAAGGCGGACCATCCATACATCTCTCCATTATGAAAAAAGGGAGAACGACAGAAGCCTCGGCAAGTTTTCTCCTCCAAATCGGGGGTGGTGTGGTCGAAATTCTTCGGTCCGGCAGATTGACCGGCGTCAAGGGACCTCTGCATTAGGGTTAGAGTAAATAATCAAATAATCAGACGTAGCAAATCAATATTGGTAAATTGTAACATTTTGTAGTAAATTAAGTTGTAAATTTGTTGGCACTTTTCACATAATTCATCTTAGAATTTGTCCCAATTAGGGTTTTTATTCTTTTTTTGTGGTCTTGGAGAAGGATAAGATCGTATATATATATATATATATATATATATATATATAGAAGAGGGCATAATTGCAGGTCCATGTCAAGTTTCCAATGGCAGGCGTGGCTTGGACTATTTCTTGTCATGGAGGGGGAAAAAAAACTTGCATCATTACGTTAAAAGACCACTTTAGATAATGACTTAATATTCTTCATTGTGTTCGTGTTTCCCACAATTTCCTCCACTACTTCAAATGAAATAAATTAATAATTAATTATCTCTACTTTTGATTAATTATTTTGATTTATTAATTATTAGTTTGCTGACTTTGATTTTTGTTATTTTTAAGCTTTTCCACATGGACCATTTCACGTTCATTTCAAAAGCAGAGAAATGTAAGCTACCTTATACGACGCCGTTTCTACTTGCTGGCCCATGTCATGTGGAGCTTGGATCGGATGCGAGAAGAGGGTCCGAGTCCTCCGACAGGCAGACAACGTTAAACAAAGTACACGTGGCCTATTTTATAACGTCAAAAAAACATATAATCATACCCTTATGTGTTGCGGGACCCACTTGATTGGAATTAACACTAGACATCTAAACCGTTCCATCGCTTTCCATTTGCATTCTAATTTTCTTGATTTTACTGCCTAATCACCTTTTCTCTTCTAATCAATTTCAATTTACACCAGTGAAACAGTAAATATGTAAAACTCTCTCCAATGGGTAACTAGAATTGTTAGTCTTCAATTCATACCCACCAAATTGTAAGAAAGCATTTACTCATCATTTGTAGTAATGTTAATTCTCGTTGGATGATAAGTATGATTGAATCTACTTTATGTACGAATTTAAAAGTTAAACTCATACATCGGCAATTCACCCGGTGGTTACGCTCATCACCATTTTAAAATGGTTATAGCAAAACTGTTCTCAATGGACAAACAACAATTGGAATGAACAATTCTACTTCATATATAGTTCCACTCACCTAACCATCTATTTCTAGGAGCGTATATTCTCTAACAGTCATTATATTAGTAATGCTCACTCGCTATTTATAACTATTTATCTCGTCTAATCGTCTAACATGCTATGTTATTAGATTGTACATCAAAAACTAACAGGCTTATATACAATGGAGCACCTTTGCCGACATCAACCCAAAATGGGATTATGGGGCCGCCTAACCTAGCTGTGATACATTGGCAGAGAAAATGTAAACCATATTTGGTTATTGCCGACAACAAATGCCAACCTAGCTTAGCTCAAACATGTAACAAATGTACCAAGTTTTTAGGTACAAGAATATTATAGTGCCTTCAATTTATATGCGACAACAAATCTACAGTGACTCAATGAGAGAAAAATTAAAGGCCTTTTACAACTTTTTTCATTCACTGTCAACCTAGATTTGAGAATTGAACATGGGTTTTAAGGTTTTGTCCAATCTTGAACAGGGTAAGTTCAAGCCAAGAGCCAATCAAAGATGAATTGAAATTTTTTACCAACCAGCGAGTTTGCTAGAGTGAGAAAGGGAGACTTTTGATCTTGCCGTGTTCAAGGAATATGAAAGTTATTAAGATGTCAGAGAGACACATCAATGATCCACTACTAATATTATTATATTATTAACACCAATATAATCGGATATGAATAATATCTCAATTTTATTAGTCGTGAAATTACTTATTATATCAGTCAGAAAAAGTAACCACTAATTATATATTGTATTTGATAAGTTTTTGCCATAAGACTTTATATATTGTTTGTAAAAAGGAAGGAATTTTAGTGAGGATTTTTTTTGTCTTTTGAATTAAAATTAGAAGAAAAAAGCAAATCCCTTGCAAAGAAAATGCTTTAACCATCTGACCTAATATTTGGCCCAACCTTAAAAACCACATAGCTAGACTTTATGAACAACTCACCGAATGGATCTACTCAGAAAAGCTTGCCCCTTACCTCTTCTTACAAAGATCACTATGGATTATTGTCTATTATAACTGTCCTTTTCTACCAATTGCTTTCCCCCTATTGAGAAAAAGCCTTCCAGAAATTGGGTAGCAGGAGCTAGCTAGCTAGCCATAGCTGTATGGATGGCTCTAATTATCTGTTTTCAAGCCAACAAGATTACTCTATTTTCACAAAGTCTGGGTGAAATCAATCACCGAGTATTGAAAATAATGTCATAATTAAATGAATTGGTCTTTAATTTTGGTCCTAGTTGCAATCTTGGCGATCTTCCACCTAACTAGATGCAAATGGTTGATTTTATTAATTCGAAAAGGAAAATAAAAAGAGGTTTTTTTATATGAATCTGAAAATGGTTCTTGACTCTAAGGAAGCCATGCCAGGTTCCATCCCCTCTCTCGCTGGAAGGAAACGACCGCTTTCTCGTCAAATCCATCTCTAACAGCGTGTTTGAATTATTTAATTGAGAGATGAAACGTAAAATACATAAAATCTGAGTCCAAACCATGTCACTTTCGTCAATCGTCTTGTCTTCTCAATAACGGCACAAAACTAACTCACATTCAAAAGCAAATGTGACCATATCCTCGACATTCATAACACTTTACAACTTCCTTGAAACTTAAAGATTTCTGAAATTTCATCTTTTTTCAAAGTTCTTACCTCCAAAGTTCCTTTTAGACCTAAGCATTCGTCTAAACTGTTTAACAAACAAAAACAACTCATCTTCATTGATGGGGTGTTATCATGCGCAACTTCACCATATTTTACAATTTTACAAACTACACTCTTGGTCTTCTTGAATTGCAATTAACCAACTTTGACTAAGGAATACTTTCACCTAGGGTAAACGATGCATTCGCAATCTCACTAAACCTACCAATAAAGTCAGAAAATGTTTCGTCTGCACATATATATATATATCTTAGGGAGTCCATCCCGTTTAATGGAAATTATCTCATCTCATTCATTAAAAATTGGCTCACTCCACCCCAGTAACTTGTAAGAAAAAGTCAGTCAACCATCCACACATGATAGATAAATTTACCATTT